CTATCTATCTATCTATCTATCTATCTATCTATCTATCTATCTATCTACCTACCTACCTACATATCCATCCATCCATCATCTATATTATCTATCATCTACCTACCTACATATCTATCTATCATCTATGTTATCTATCTACCTACCTACCTACCACCTACCTACCTACCTATCATCTATATTATCTACCTACCTACGTATCATCTGTATTATCTACCTACCTATCATCTGTATTATCTATCTATCTACCTACCTACCTACCTACCTACCCACCCACCCACCTACCTACCTATTATCTATATTATCTACCTACCTACCTACCCATCCATCCATCCATCCATCCATCCATCCATCATCTATCTATTATTTATATTATCCATCATCTACCTACTTACATATCAATCATCTATATTATCTACCAGCTACCCACCTACCTACCTACCTATCTCATTTGCCACCCAGCTCCTGGTTCAAGGTGACTCTGAGCAGCTTACAGCGAGTGTAAGGACAGAGATATCTGTGTGTTTATGGAAGGTGTCCTGTGCAAGAACGCAACAATGCTTTACAGATGGTCCTTGAGTTATGACTGGTTGCTCAGCCACTCTAAGTCGAGGGGTGTCTGTAGTCCACCGGATGTGCGAACAGGGCCTTCATTTGTTAAATACAGCGTGTCATTTGGACCAATAATCCAGACCGGGCTCCAAGTGATTTTAAATCTCTCAATGTCTGCAATCTGGCTTTTGGGAATATAAAACCCCAGATTCCTTTAACCCAGCAATCTATACAACAGATGGGGGGGAAGGAAACAAGAATTCACTCACGGTTCAGACACACGCACTTCCTGCACGCTGGTTCAACCCCCCCCCCCCCCCATTTTAAAGCCTCAGTTTAAAGGCTCAGTTTTCTAAGACGAAAGCAAGATACCTTGCACGAGATTCTGGAATCAAAAGCCTCATTGTTGAAGGCCTGGGTTTAATCTGATGCCAAAAGAAAAACCTCCCCCAAAACAAACCCCAAACTTATTCCGAAGAATCACGTAACTCATCAGGAACTCCACTAAGACTCCAAGGTCCCTCTCACAGTCACTGCTATTAATTCTGGTTTCACCCAGTATTTTATTTAAGTCTTAAATGCACAAAATAATAAACAACTTTTTGGTATGTTATCTTTTTTTAGGTAATTAGGGCAAAGAAACGACATTGAGTTGGCTACACCCACCCAGTCACATGACCACCCAGCCAGTCATTAGGGGAGAGAGCCCCTTGCTAAAAAGCCCACCCTGTCTATATCTATAGAGATCCACCTACACACACACACATCCATCCATATCTATCTACCTATCTTTTAATTGTCTTGCAAGGGAAAGCATTTTTAAGTGTTTTCCCCCTACCCTCCAAGTAGATGGCTCGACTATATTCCCCACCACCCCCGCCCGTGGAGCCAGTGGAAGTGAAGCAATTTTTGTTACTTACTTGTAGTTGTCGTCTTCCACAAATTTTTGAAGCTCTTCAATATACCGGACGGACTTCAAGTATTTTTGCACGTGGGGTAACATTAGAAGGTGATCTGCAGGGGCCAAAAATTTTTTAAAAAAAAAAGTTTTTCAATCTCAAAACTGTTATGAAGAAAATGAGTTTTTGGCAGCAACAGGATGAAGCTTCTGCCCTCGCCCCCCCACATCTATTCTGAATGACAGCCCAAAATTCTCCATCAAGAGTAAGAATTTCACTGACCAGCATACAGTAAATGTAGTCCTTGACTTAAGACTACAACTACCCAGATATGCTGACTCCGTAAACTGCTTTGAGAGGGCTGTAAAGTCTATTCCTATATTTCTTTCTATATTTCTATTCTATTCTACTCTATTCTAGTCTTCCATTCCTAATTCTAATTCTGTTCTACTGTACTCTATCCTGCCCTATTTTACTCTACTCTACTGCCACGGTGGCACAGTGGTTAGAATGCAGTACTGCAGGCTAATTCTGCCAACTGCAAGCAGTTCGAGCCTGACTGGTTCAAGGTTGACTCAGCCTTCCATCCTTCTGAGGGTGGTAAAACCAGATTGTTGGGGGCAAGAGGATGACTCTGTAAACCACTTAGAGGGGGCTGAGCACTGTTGCTATTAAGTGGAAATTCAAACACCTCAATTTGGGAAAGTAAAAATAACTCACAGCTTAGGTGAGCGTATAACAGGGGGGGGATGAACAAGGGTCTCCTAAAATCAGAACAGAAGCTAAACCAAAGGGCTGCACAACTGATGAAGCGGATAAAGTTACAACCTAGTTTATATAGTCGATCAAGTTATAACCTACTTAATGTAGTTGATAAAGTTTTAACCAATATCTGCAATGGAATTTATCCATACATTGAGAAGGAAAACATATTCCCTTCACCACTGACCCACATACACACATCTGCAAAGCCTAGTCACCGAGACAATAAAATCTAATTGTCTAGAACTAATAATATGTACAAGATGGTGGAAACCAAATAACTTAGCAGCCCAGAAGTTTAAACCTCAAGGGCAGCTTTCACAGAAGGGAGACATCTGATACTAATTTACTGAGCTGGTTAACACGGATGAGGAAGCAAATTGACCAACCGTAGCTACAAGAGACTTGCAAATCAGCAATTATTCGGAGAATGTTGTTCATTTGATTGGACCTTTGTTCGTTCTCCATGATGCTGCCGGAAGCTGGATAGGCTGAGTCAATGTAGATTAAGTCCAAGAGATAAATCCCTAAAATTAAAGAAAAAGATTAGATGGCATTTAGTCGACGTAGTTGCCACTGACTTAACAGAATAGCAGAGTTGGAAGAGACCTTGCTCAGGCAGGAAATCCTACACTACTTCAGACAAATGGTTGTCCAAACTCTTCTTTAAAACCTCCAGTGATGAAGCAGCCACAACTTCTGGAGGAAAGTTTGTTCTATGATGAATTATTCTCACTATCAGTGAAGTTTCTCCTTAGTTCTAAGTTGCTTCTCTCCTTGATCAGTTTCCACCCAATGCTTCTTCTCCTGCCCTCTGGTCCATTGGAGAATAGCTTGACCCTCTCTTCTTGCGGGCAGCCCCTCAACTATTGGAAGACTGCCATCACGTCATCTCCTAAGTCCTTTTTGCCCCCCATCAAACTAGACTAGGGAATCCTCCTCCTCGTGTTTTAACCTCCAGCCTTTGTTCCCTTCATTATGAACTTCATAGAGTTGATAAAGTTTGGAACTAACATCATAGAAACATCACATATAGTCCATCGGATTACAACGTATGTCCTAAAAAACTGCTGTCAGGCCAGGGTGTGTTAAACATTTGTCTCTCAACCTACATTGTTCCCAGTGAAACATAATCTGAGCTTGAACCATTTAGGAATGAAAGAACTAGTATCCAATTCTAGAGGCAGCAGCTGTTGTTGAAAAGGAAGGTTGCAGAAGGTGCAAAAAAAAACCCAGACAGATTGAAACTACAGCTGCTAAAACGGCTCACGCTGACGCTCTTGCTATTTGGTATTATTAGGAACATCCTGGAAACCTCCGCAGATTCACAAAACCTCAAATTCTCCCTCTCCTCCCCTCTTCCCCTCCCCTATTCTCTCCTCCCCTCCTCGTTGACGGGGAAATAAACGTTTTGATAGGAATAGATGATCTTTTTTTTTTCAACCATGAATATATTTCTGCCCAACTTGAAAAATAATTTCTATTGCGCAAGGAACAACCTGCAACTTATTTTAAAAGCCACAATTTCTGTCTTAAAAGTTTCCATCTAGAGAGAACGCCCTTATGGCATTTTTTTTTTCCATTTCAACTCTGCCTCGGAAAGGACCCACTCCCATTTAAGCAAAGGATGGGTTATCGAAGGGACTCCCGTGTGGTTTTATCGCATCGAACTCTCTCGATCAAAGCAAAGACCAAAGTGAACAAAAAGAGCAGCCATATGGTAGCTGTCATCTTTTACGGGGACAGAAATGTCAAAATATTGAACAAAACACCTCTTAAGTCTGCCAAGAAGCCAGCCAACCAACACAGACACAAAACACTGAATAATAGAATTGGAAGGGGCCTTGGAGGTCTTCTAGTCCAACCCCTGATCAAGCAGGAGACCCTATACAATATAGAGTGTCAAGACCAGAGCAAAATAAGACAAATGTGTGAGAACCATTCATATTTAATGCTAGGATGTTTTTTTTAAAATGCACCTGGAGAAGAAAATACAGGTAGTCCCTTGACTTAAGGCCACAACGGAGCCCAACATTTCTGCTGCCAAACGAGAGTTGTTCAGTGAGTTTTTCCTCCAAGGTCATGTGAGTTTTGATCGCGTGACCACGGGCAGGCTGCCCTGGTTGTAAGAGCGAGAAATGGTCGTATAAGTCACCTCTTTCAGTGCCGTTCTAACTTTGAACGGTGGCTTAAACGAACTGTTGTACGTTGAGGACTAATTGTCACACATCGTTTTGGAAAATATCTGGCTTATAACCGAATGCTTGGAATTAAAGCCAAAATAAAAAGCCTATAAAATCCATTTTGAGATGAACATGATTTCCTACCAACAAAAATGTGTGGACAGAGTGATGTTTAACACAAGTGATGTTTAACACAACCAGTGATGTTTAACAGAACCAGTTTTGGTTCTATATTTATAGCCTCAAAGGAGGTAAAAATCTCAAGTCGCAAATAAAGCCCATTATTTAGCTAATGAACACCCATTTTGTTTTCTTCCTCTGCTTGAACCCTGTTGTGCCTTTATCACCATGATTTTAATTCTTCGGCAAGTTTCTCTATTTAGTTTTCCCCTCTACTCTCCATCTGCTTGTGCATCAGTAAGATTGTCTCTCACTCCAAAGCTCCTCTTGCCCTGAGAAAATCTTCCGTACTCTTGAGTGGTTGGTTTTTATTATTTTTATTATTATTCTTATTATTATTCTTTTCCCTTGGTTGGGCACTGGGCTCCTGCCAAACTGGAATGGTGCCTTCTTCGTACAAAGGGATGAAAGGAGCAGCTCTTTCGGAACCTGGCTGGCATCCCTTCTTTTTAAGCCGTTCATAATTAATGCCTGTGTTCTCTCGAACCGAGTGGGTGGGTGCCACACAATGGCATCGCTTGGGAATGCAGCGGGCAAAAAAAAAACCATACAAAGGGAAAAGGGAAGGAGAAGGAACACCCACATTTTCACCCCCCCCTCACCCTCAAACTTATCGCTAAAGGTGCAAGAATAATGGAGTAACAAGAGTTGGAAGGGACCTTGGAGGTCTTCTAGTCCAACCCCCTGCTTAGGCAGGAAACCCTACACCATTTCAGACAAGTGGCTGTCCAGTCTCTTCTTAAAAGCATCCACAACTTCTGGAAGCAATTTGTTCCACTGGTTGATTGTTCCCACTGATAGGAAATATCTCCTTCGTTTGTTCTAGGTTGCTTCTCTCTTTGATGAGTTCCCACCCATTGCTGCTTCTCCCGCCTTCAGGTGCTTTGGAAAGTAGTTTGACTCTCTCTCTCTTCCTTGGCTGCAAGATGGAGAGTGAGGTTGCAATAGTTTGGCTGTAGAGAGAAACGGCCTCTTGGCTCTTGATTCTGCAGTATGTCTGGAAACGGTGGGTGCGCTTTTTGCCCAGCCAAATCCGGAAAAAAAAAGCAGCTAAACATTTCTTTAGATACTCCTCCGTACACACATGCATTTCTTATTACTGCTGTTAAATGATCTTGTGGCTTTGATAGGAAACGCCCAGGTTTACTTAACTCTTGTGGTTTACCGGCTGATCTTGACCGAATCCCCCTTTTTTTCCACATGCCCGCACATTTTTGCAGCCCACATCACTGTTCTGTTTAACAGGGGGGTTGGTGGTCCTTTCCACTGGCAGCGATTCCAGACTGAAACCACACTGATGCCGAAACACTGAGAAGCTTTCATTAGCCTCCCCAAACTGAACCCATTCACTCCCGTTCCTCTCCAGAGCAAATGCTGACTTGGTATCTCCACTCACTGCCTTAATCTGAGGTAGAATAGAATAGAATAACAGAGTTGGAAGGGGACCTTGGAGGTCTTCTAGTCCAACCCCCTGCCTAGGCAGGAAGCCTTACACCACTTCAGACAAATGGTTATCCAACATCTTTTTAAGAACTTCCAGTGTTGGAGCATTCACAACTTCTGGTGGCAAGCTGTTCCACTGATTAATTGTTCTAACTATCAGGAAATTCCTCCTTGGTTCTAAGTTGCTTCTCTCCCTGATTAGTTTCCATCCATTTATTGCTTCTTGTCCTGCCTTCTGGTGCTTTGGAGAATAGGTTTCGAGTCTTAACACGGTTAACACGTCAATAGATGGAAACGGCTAAAAGCGGGCGATACAATTTGAAGCTCTCAACAAGACAGGCCAGATTTTCTTTTTAAAAAACCCCCCAAACTAAGATATATAATTCAGGAAGATTCTGGGTCTGGTTTCCAGAAGACAGCAGTGTTCAATACTGGCACAAGAGATTGGAATGCCATTTATCAGAAAGGGCGTAGTTAAGAGTCTTCTGCTTGGGCAACGGGTTGGATTAGATGACCTTACAAGGTCCCTTCCAAGTCTGTGAATCTAATCTAATCTAATTTTGAGGGGCTGCCACAGAGAAGAGGAGAGGGGAAGAGAAGAAGCAACAGATGGAAAGCACTCAAGGAGAGAAGCAACCCAGAACGGAGGAGGAATTTCCTGATAATTCATCAGTGGAACAACTTGCGTCAAGAAGTTGTGGGTGCTCCAACACTGGAGGTTTTTAAGAAGAGACTGGACAGCCATTTGGATAGTCTGAAGTGTTACAGGGTTTCCTGCTTGGGCAGGGGGGGGGGGGTTGGACTAGAAGACCTTCAGGGTCCCTTCCAACTCTGTGATTCTGCTAACTTTCCAGGCTTTGCCCCAAGAATATCTGTCCTGCGGTGGGGAATTGGTTAAACCGAGCGTGTTTATTCTGCAGAAAGAGGAAGTTTTGACAAGGAGCCCATGCTGTATCGACTCCACATTCCCTCGAAAAGACAGAATTGCTTGACGTGGAGCGTTGGACCGGGGGGGGGGGGGGGGGGGGAGAAGAAGACGACCAAGAAGAAGAAGAAGAAGAAGGAGAAGAAGAAGAAGAAGAAGAAGCATTTCTCAAATCGCCGACTGAGCCATCTGTCCACAACCCCAACCTCCCCCCCCCCCCAAAAAAATGCCCAGTTTGCAAAACCAGAAGCGCCACTTTCAAAAGGTTAGCGAAGAGTCAAGAACACGAAGCCACGAAATCTGTGGTCTCCCCTGGGCTGCAGAAATTGAGAGGGGGGGGGGGCTCCGTGCATCAGAGGAAAGGAAAAATTTGGGGGTGGGGGGAGGAGAGAAAATCTTTCCTGCGGAGGAGAATCAACAGCTTGATTAATCTTAGTAGGATTTTGGTGGCGGGTATTTTGAGGGGCAAATTAACGGGGGCGGGGGGGGGGCAGTTTTGCCAAAGCTGACAAGAATCTTGTGATGTGGGATCCACAAGGCCACCCTGGCAGTCAGAGGAATGGAATCAGTCCGCAAAGCTTGAATAAATAAAGTGAGGTGTGTCGTCGTCCCCCCCCCCCCATTTAATCTACTGCCACCCAGCTGGAAAAGAGTAAAGGGAAACAACTACATAGGTACTCTAAAAGAAAGAAACCAAATTCTAAAGTCTTAAATGTAATAGATAATAGATGGATAGATGATAGATAAGATAGAATAGAATTCTTTATTGGCCAAGTATGATTGGGCACACAGGTGA